CCCGGGGGGGGTGCCCCGGGGGGGCCAGCCATGTCTGCACCGGTGCCCTGGGGCAGAGGAGCCGGAAAGAGAGACCGGGTGGATTTGCTGGCTGATGCGGCGGGAGCCCGGAGTCCATTGTCAGAGAGGCTGCAATTGACCTCCCTTAATCTGGCAAGCTGCCTCCTTGGGGACCGGTTAGGTCCTGAGGGGGCCAGACTAGGGAGGTCCAACATGTATAATAACCTGTGTTAACAGAGAAAAGTTTGGGGTTAGCAAACACTTGTTAACCAACCCTGACCCTTTGTTTAACCGGTACTAACACATGCTTGCAAAGAAAACGTTACCAAAGTGAACTGTGGAAGGATTCAGGGTTGTCCTCCTGCAAGTGTGGAAGGCAAAGGTGTAAAGTGTTGGTTAAGTCAGAAACCTAAAGATGACGGTTTAAATGTAAACACTGTCTATCCCACCACTGATCATGTTAGCAGAAACAGCCAGTTAACGTGTTTGTTAAACTTTCTTCTATTCCCTCCAGGAGCTCAAAGCCTCAACTATCAAGAACCTCCAGCTTCACCCTGATAACTTCTATCATGCAGCTACTGCTTATCAGTGCAAAACATTTGGCATTTCCAAAATGCAATAAGATGGCTGCACTATAGGATGAATAAAAGAGAATATAAGAAACAGAAGGGCTACTGTACTGTGATTACATTATTCAATTTGATAAGTAACTAAAGCTGCCATAGCATTTTTCACAGTCTGATGCGCCGGAGTGCTGTCTAGCTTATTTAGGTCTAACTTTAGATCTAACTTTTTTTTTGGGGGGGGGCATATAATTGGGGGAAAAGGCATCAGTTAATAGAAAAAGGATCTTACTTCATAGCAGGGAGTGTAGGTTAGGAACGTGAATGGGTAACCGGTTACCCAGTAAGCCAGGCTGGAGCGGTTCCCCCCACCAGGATCCTGCTTAATTGGTTAACCAGTTAAACCTAACATTTAACTGGTTTACTGATGAACTAGTATTTTTTATCCCTAGTATAGGTGTGTCGGCAGGGCAGAGGAAGAAATAGCAGACTTGGAATGTCATAGGAAATAATTGCATATTAGATGTTTGTAGGAATTACCAGAAATTCTCCTGTCCGTATCTGTTTGGCCACCATTTCTAAACATTCTATCAGCATGCAGCATACAGCCCTACTGCATGTGTTTTGTAGATCATCTAGAGAAGGCAACAGTCTTGCATGGGCAGATAGAGAAGTTCTTTTTCTCCACATCTATAAGTTCTCTGAGGCATGAGTTTAGAGAGCCCTTTTAGTGCATTGTGAGCATCCTTCCTTAGGAAAACACATTGATGGTGTGAGTCATTTGTAACCTAAGGGAAGATGATAGCATTTCTTTAAAAAATTCACTGAATTGTAGCTCTGTTAATTTCAGTGGGACTTGCTCTCCACAGGTGCATAAGGGGAAAAAACTCAGGGTAGCACAACATGCAGGGGCAGGTGGTTTGTGCCAGATTGTCAGAATGCCAGTCAGAATGAGCAAAATCATAGGGTGAGCAGTGGTCTTGGGTCTCTCCATGGTGCATAGTAGGTGCACTCTACAGCAGGGCTACTCAACACACAGCCCATTTGTTTGTGGCCCGCAGTGCTTTTTTGGTTTACGTGGAGCTCAACATGCAGCCTGCAGGTGGAAGCCAAAACAAAAAAGTAGTCAATATAATGGTCTTCTGTTGATATGTGTGTTAGTAGTTATATTCCTGGACTGTCACTGCTCATTAAGTGCTGTCCTATTAGTGGAAACCGGATAAATATTGCATTTTATTAATATCAGCAGAACTGACTTAAATGGTGCCTGTGTGTTGTGTGGTCTTGCCTTAATCTTTGTATTCATTCCTGTGAGTGAGAGAATATTTTTGCATATATTTGCATATATATTTGCATGTATATGCAACCACACTTAAGTTGCAGCCTTCGGCATGTGCTGAAACTATCATTGTGGCCCCCAGGGCTTCCAAAGTTGAGAAGCCCTGCTCTACATTATGTACCCACACCTAGGGTCCAGGTAAAAAAAAAAAAGCCATGCTGTTATTCTGTAAGACAGTGTTTGTCTTTAGTATTTTCCATGAAGCCAGCTGAAGGCCTGGTCCCTAAGGACAGCTGTGTTTGTCACTAATATGGGGGGATGCACTTTAGCAGACTCTGCAGAGTACTAGTGTCCTTAACACAGGTAGCAAGTGACGGTGATAGATGCAGATGTTAAAAATTGGGTAGGTGTGACTTTTTTTTTATGCTTCCCGTATCCCTTTCTTGAGAAGCCAAACAAAATTTGTATTCCAATTGTTTGTGGTAAACTGCTGTTGAGCTTACAGTTGTAGCTGGACAGCGGAGCTTTAAGAGGGAAATATTTACAGCAGCCCTGATTTCTTAAAAACATGGAAGTTATTTTAGCTAGGGGGAAGGACTACCAAAAATTGTGACAACAGAATGCTGAGAAATGAAGGGGAAAGATGAATTGGCCTAAAAATCTAGCAAGATAATTATCACCATAAAGTACTTACCAAAATGTTTTTACAAAATATATTGTGCTGATGTCAATTTGGATGACTTCACTTGATTATCTGTGTGTTACTAAGAATATTTACCTTCTTTAATCTGTTTAGAACTGTTTTCCCCTAGTATCAGTAAGTATGTTTGAAAGTGCAAGTGATACTCTTCTCTCCTGTTCATATGTCTGTGCTCCACTCCCGAACTTGTAAAGTGTATTATAACTCTTCTTCCTCTTTCTTTTGATCAAATGTTTCTGTATGTGTGTTTGTTACAGAGCTTTATTAGAAGGGGAGAACAGCCAATGGATTATTACATGGATTGATCAGCAGGGGAGAGAAATACCACAAGGTAAAGAAGTGAACATTAAAGTTAAACCTCTAAATAGAGATTTTAGTCAGTTTAAAAACAATTGTTTCCATTGAATCAGTGTAAGTGTGTTGCAACATATTTTAGCTGTTAAGCTCATAACAAACAGCCCCCCACACCAAAAACCCACTTCTGTGAGCTGTGTCTGAGAATCAGTATTTTTAAATGAATTAATCTATGTGTTGATAGTAGGGCCCAATGCCCTTCGCAGCTTAGACAGCAGCAAGCTAAGCTTGTCTGTGTTGCTCACTAATATACTTCAACTTGGTTTATCTTCAGTGGGTTCCTTTTCCACGTTCATTTGTGCGTGCGCTGTGTCTGTTGAGATGTGAGTTGTACCAGTGTCTTTTGCTTACACCTGTGTGGAAAGCATCAGACTCCTTTCATATGAAGTACTAAAGAGTGATCTGATGGTAACAGCTTTGGGTCATGAATGGACAGTTTAAAAAGTTAATCCCTGACAACACACCTGTTTTTAACACGGTGCTGATAGAGTGGGATTGTGTTTATATTTTCATATTGTGGCACTTGCTGGCAAGTTAAATTCTCATCCTGAAGGAGCAGACAATTCTGATTCAATAACACGCTGGTTACTTCTAGACTGCAGGCTTCTTTCAGAAGAATCTTTTCCAGAAGAGATCTTCCGGAAAAACTTTTCGAAAGAGAGCATCCACATAGCAAGAGCACATTGAAAAAAGCGATCTGCTTTTTCGAAAGATAGCATCCACATTATCTGTCATTTAAGTTATGATTACTATGGACAAAGTGGCCACTAGGGCACCTGTGTTTTTTCCTGGAGGCCTCTTCTTTCAGAAAAAACCCTCTTCCCTGTGCGCACACATCTTTTTCCAAAACAGCTCTTTTGGAAAAAGTCGTCTTCCTCGTAGAAAGAGGTTTACCGCTGTCAGAAAACCCCCTACGTTCTTTTGACTTTCTGTCGAAAGAACGCAATTGCAGTGTGGACATAAGTGTAGTTTTTTTTGGAAAAACACCTGTTTTTCTGGAAAACCTCTGCAGTGTAGACATATCCTCTCTAGGCACAATGGTTGAAGAAGCAGTAAATTAAATCTGAGATTACTAGCATTGTAGCTAGAGATGTAAAGAATTTAACTGGTTAACCGATAAGCATTAGCTTATCAGTTAACCTTACTGGTTAAACTTCCAGCTCCTGCACTGTTAACCATGTGACTAACTGAATTTCAATTGGCTACAATGTTACTGTTTTAATTATAGCATATAAAGGCAATGAATGTCAGAGTATACAAACATTAATAAATACTAAATTGCATAATTACTCAGAAAAGACACATCATATGTGTGCTAATGTCCAGTAGGATTAGCTCATCATGGTTAAGGTAATAATATGGGGAATTAACAGCAGCTTGCACTCACTGAAAACACGTTACCCTTAATTTTAATTAATTTGACATCTAAGTTGTGCTATCTTTCAAATCCCATAAGAATACTTGTGTGTACAGATGTCCAATAGTGTGCTTTAATGTGAATTAACATTATTTCTTCAGAAATATTTTAGCGTTACATTAAGAACATGTCTAGATTATTGCATGTCCCTGTTGTTGTATATAGATCTTTACATACAAGACAGTATTTTAATTTTTGTGTATCTAAACTTTTCTTGCAGGTATAAGAAACGTACCTTATGATTACACAAATAGTTACTCAGCATACCGAGAAGAAAATAAAAAGAAAAGCTTTCCGATTATCAAGCGTGCTGACACTAGACATAAAACACCAGTAACAAATATTCGCAGTTCTGCATTTGATTCAACTCAGACAATGCGTGGTGGACCATGGACAACAGATAATGGAAAAGTTTTAAGAAAAGAGATTCTTATTTCAGAATATCGTCCTTCAGCCACTATTGAAAAGGATGCCAATTATGAAAGAACTATGAAGGGTCACAGAGAGTTCAAAACCTTTACCCCAACATACGGTGTTTGGGGAGACACTGAAATTCATCGAAACACATTTCCTGAAAGAAAGAGGACAGAAGTTACAACTACTTCAGCAGTTTCTTTTTCAAAAGATTTGACAAGTGTTCAAAATTCAAACAAGGACCAGAAAGTAGACACAAGATCAGGTGTTTCTGAAGGTACAAGAATAAAACCAGATAATTTTGCTAAATTTCCATCTTACGGGTTGAATTCCAATTTTAAACAAACCAAATATGAACAGATCTTAGATGACACTCATGGTTTGTTGAAAGAAAAAACAAAAGGGGATGAACAAGTTAAAGAGGGGAAACGTGGCTTGTTAGAAGAAAAAGATAAGGAATCAGTCAGTGAGGAAAGAAAAAGGGGAATGGATGAAAAACCCACAGCAGCAGAAAGAAGTGCAATTTTTGGAAGGAAGATTGAGGTTACACCAGAGCAGAAAACGCACATAATGGAGGATGTGATTATTAATGATAACAAGATTTTTTCAGGAGTCAGGAATAAGGAAGATAACATTGCCAAAGAAGAAACAAATGTTACATGGGAAGAACAAACCAGAGTACATGAATCAACCACAGACGGAGAATTTTTTCTCCCTGATGCTAAGATTAAAGAAGATGAAGTAACCAAAAGGAGTACAAATGTGTTCGTGGAATCAAGAAGCAAAGAACCTGTTGAGATACCCATCAGGGTTGAAATGTATACTCCAGACAAAATATTGCAGAACAGTAACACAGAAATAAAATTTCAAGGCTTTAAAACGTCTGTAGGAAAAGAGACAATTAAACCCAGTGAGATTCTCAATGTGAATGTTTCAGAAAAAGAACCCAATCTGGAAGATGAACATGGAATTAGTGACAAAAGTAGCCCTAAAATGAGTTCTTTGTCAACTGAAAACATAGCAGAAACTATTGTCGCAGATATTCTTAAAAGTTTTGTTCAGTCTTCTGGTTCAGAAACAACGCCGCATGCAAAAATAAGCTACCTTGAAAGGAAAAAATATGATGATGAGAGAGAGGGGACTGAGATCACAGTACAATCTCAAGTTCATGAAGACATAGACGTTTCAGATGAAGTTGATCTAGGAAATCTGTTAAACAAGGATGGCAAAGGGGTGCTGGAAGGTGCGGAGGGAATTCCATCCAAAGATGTTATAGAAGACATAATAAATGAGGGCCTGAAGGGAAGAGACCGTATAGGCAAAGTGTCTGTCAAGGTTGAGATTGTTGAGGAACCACTAGAATCTGCAGCTGATGAAAGGAGTGAGTTTTCAACACCATTTGAAGTAGAGGAAGTAGAAGAGACATCACCTGGTATGAAGGGGCATTATGGTGATGAGCAAGAGCAGAACACTACAACTTCAGCTGAAGATTTTAAAAAGAAAAAACAACCCAGCGAGAGCCTTACCCACGTGGAAGAAGTAATGGAGGCAGATGACTCAGTTGATGAACAAAGATATTTTGTATCTACTCCAGATGATTACCCTTTTGCTCATGGAAAAGAGAATGACTCAGTGTATGGGCAAATTTACATAGAAGAAGAATCAACTATTAAATATTCTTGGCAAGATGAATTTTTGCAGGGCACGCAAAGAAGAAAAGATGATGGCATTATCTCACCAGAACAAACATATCAAGTGGTGGGAGAGGAAGCAAGCACCTGTGTTGTAAATGAGGAACATCCAAAAGGTGAAGCATCACATGCAGAATCCATTGTTATTGAAAAAGAGATTAAAATACCACATGAATTTCAAACCTCTATAAAGGGGCTTTTATTGAAGGAAACCAAGGACCCAAAACAACAGTTGAAAGATGCATTGGGACAACTAGAGGGGAGTCTTCCAGAAAGTGTGAAAGAAGAACTAGCTGCGCTAACGAAAGAAGATCATGCTGACTCCAGTAGCGTGGCAGTTGACATAAAAAAAGTTGACCAAGTGAGTGAAGATGGTTTGGTGACAATTGTGGCTGAGGTCAATCTGACCCAAACCCTTGATGCGGATCAGTTTGATATTGCACAGCTTGGTGGAGTCATCAGAAGTGAGACTGAGAGCGTGTCCCTGAAGTCCCCAAAACAAGAGGGCTTTGAACGTAATGAACCTGAGTTGGAAAGTCAGACTGATGGTAAAAGCCGCATAGAAATAGACATTTCTTCATCCAGTAATAAATCCGCTCCTTGGGCTAGCAGAGGGGTTTACAGCTCATCCAGGGTGAGAAGTAATGATGGCATGGAATATCATTCCACTGAAGAAGTTATTTGTGAAGGGCCGGTTTCAGAAGCTGTGGAGTTTGGTAAAGGAGAAGAAGTCTCTCAGACACAGGAATCAACTGATATTAATCAATCTATAAGACATATTAAAATAGGTCCAACAGAAATTCGGAGAACTGAGCACATCATATATGAAGGGCCCATTTCTGAACCTCTGGAACTTGATGGTAGGGGAGATCTTGTTCAGACAGAAAGGTCATCAGATATTGAGAGGTCTGTGAAGCATTTTAAACTGGGTCCTCAGGAAATTCAGATGACTGAAGAAATCATTTATAAAGGGCCTGTTACTAAAACTATAAAGGTAGATGAACCGGAAATCCTTACTAAGCCACCATTAGAAACTGATAATAATCGGTCCATGAGGCATATCACATTAGGTTCACAGCAGATTACTGAAGATCTCATTTTCCAAAGGCCCATTTCAGACTCCTTAGAGCTGAGTAGCTCAGGAGATTTCTCTCACATAGAAGAGTCAATGGATACTAACAGATCAGTAAGGCACATTAGAGTGAGTCCAAAAGAAATTCACACAGAACAAGTAATATTTGAAGGGCCCATTTCTGGAAATGTGGAGCTCAGTGGCACAGGAGAACTCTCTCAGACAGGAAGTTCAATAAGGCACATTAAATTAGGACAAAAAGAGATGCATTCAGCTGATAAAATCGCACATGAAGGGCCTCTTTCTGAAACAGCAGAGTTTGGGAGTGTGGGAGACCGCTCTCACCTGGAGCATAGGTCAGATACAAATGCATCTATCATGCATATTAAATTAGGTCCCAAGGAATTTATGACAACTGAGCAAATTATCTACCAGGGGCCAATTTCTGAACATCTGGAATTCAGTGAATCGGGAGACAGCTTTCATTCAGAAGGGTCAATAAAACACATTACGTTAGGTCAGAAGGAAATTAAAACTACTGAACAAGTCATATATCAAGGCTCCATTTCTGAATTTCCAGAGATCAGTAGTGCAGGAGTAAGCCTTTCTGAGACTGAAGGAAACTCAGATCCTAATAGATCCATCAGGCTCATAAAAGTGAGTCCCACAGAAACTCATACAGAACAAATCATCTTCAAAGGGCCCATTTCTGAAACCAGCGACGATCGCTTTCAGACAGAAGAGTCATCGGAGAGTGGTCGATCTATAGGGCATATTAAATTAGGACCCAAGGAGACATCTTTTACTTTTCAAATGGATGTAACTAATGTGGCAGGAGTACCTGTTGTGGAAGGGAGAACACAGGAAGCTAGAATCACAGTATCAAACTGGAAGGAGCCTGATGTCAGACACTCTCAGGTTGTAGTTGAAAGTGACCAGAAGGACACTGATAGCGAAAGTACCAAAGAAGTCCGTGTTTTTCCTGATTCTTCTCAGGCTTATGGTGAACCAGTAACAGAGAAGTCAGTATTTGAAAAATGTGTACAGCTGCAAAGAATGGTAGACCAAAGGTCAATGATTTCTGATGAAAAGAAAATAGCCCTTGTGTATTTAGACAAAGAAGAAGAGAGGGAAGAAGATAATGATGGACACTGGTTCTGAAAGGACAGTTTAATATAACTTGTTCATCATAGAAATTTTTGATTTTTTTTTTAAAGGAACTGTCCCACTACTACATCAACATTGGATTGACACACATTAAATTTCTAAGCCTCAATATATCCAACATCCTTTTGCAAATTAGGGAGGGCTCCCTCTATTGCCAGTTCTTTTCTCACTGATGTCTTTCCAGTGGCTTCAAATTTCTTCAATTTCCAGGATAGGAGCTTTCTACTGAGGATTTTTCCAGATCTTAGATATATCTGGAAAAATATATTAAGCTAATCCACAAGTGAGAGTCTGAGCTGGATTTTATCAACTTTAGAACACTGTGTTGTACTGGGATACTTTAAAAACTAAAAAGAAATGCTGAATTCTTTAAGTGTTAACCACAGGCAGTTGGAAGAATATTAGAGTAAGGCATGCAGGCAGTTGATGTTAAGTTCCATTTCCATGTGCAATAAATAATAGTAAAATGTGAGGAAAAATGAAATAATTGCATCTACAAAGTAAAACCATGCAAAGCAAACCATGCATGCCAAAAATTATGGTAAAAACTTTGTCACCTTTCTAGTTAGAACCAAATACAGAGAAGGCAAGAAGTAAAACTATATCTCAGTCATGTTGTTTTCAGGAACATATTTAGTTTGCCTTTATAAAGTGCAATGTGTTTAATATTTTTAAAGAGAATCAGTAAGACAATGGATAAAAACCATAGGCTGAATCTTAGTTACGTTAAAGTCGGTGATAAAATCCCTCTAACTTCTTTGATTCTACATAATCACATATGAAATGACTGCTCTCAATATATAGTACTGTTCTGATATTGGGTATTGCAAGTGCCTAAGGAGAGTGGGATGGCACATATCATACAGTTTAATGCCTTGGAACAACAGGATTAGCTCAAGTGTGGTGCTTTGACTAGTGACTGAAAAAATGGCATGTTCATTGGGTCTTCATTTCCACATCAACATTCTCTATTTAAAAACAAAAAGATTCCTCCTCCTTCTCCTCCCCCAACTGAATATTCAACCTAGGATCTGAAAGTCACCCATCTGGGTTCTTTCTGGCTTCTTGCCATCACCAGTAATGGATTTTCTCCAGCCACTCTCTACCTTCAGATACAGTACTTGAAATGCCATTGTTTTTATTGGGTTTACTCACTTGTGTCACTGAGGAGCATAATTCAGTCCTGTAATTAGAACTGAGTTAATTCTTTTGGTGCCCACTCAATAATAGAATCCATCTAATTTTTCAGTGGCTGTACTAGTTCTGCGGTGCTAATGGGTGCAGAAAGAGTAACAAAGAAACTGAACTGTTGACACTAAAATAAGAAGCTATACCTTGGGGTATACCTACTCAGCAAAAGCTGTGCAAGAGGTAGTCTGTTTGAGCTAGCTTGAATCCTGTTAGCATATTCACACAACCATAGCACCGAAGACTCAATGTGGACACGCAAACTGAATACCTACCCTCTGCTGGGTTTGAACGCTTTGTGCTGAAGCCTGTGCTTCGCTCTCTTCTCTGCTATTGCTATTTGTACTAGCTGGATTCAAGCTAGCTTGGTTGGCTAGCCCATGCACAGCTTTTGTTGTAGACACATCTCTGAATATACACAGTGAATTAGATATACAGAGTAAGAAGCTAACGTGTTAATATGCTCTGAAAGTAGAATGGCAAGTTAAACCCGACAGCCATATTGTTCCAGACTATTAGCCTTTAACTTTGAATTCCTTGCTTGTGGTTTGGTTTTGGTCACAAGCATTATGTTACTTTAAACATAGGTTGTGTGCGTTTAACTCAAATTACAGTCCAACTATATTCTTATTGTGGCGTGGCTCTCATTAACTTCTCACTTTCTTTAGTATCATTAGAAGCTAGATTTGATAAAACTGACTACTACAGATTGAAGCTCTCCAGTCTGGCACCCTTGGGACCTGACAAGGGTCAAACCAGAGAATTTGCCAGACTATGGGAGATCACTATTGTTTAGTACCATGACCAACACTTTCACTGCTTACTGGGCTCTTAGAAGACATTTAAGATTAAATTAGAGCTAAATAACATCACTGAACACTGAGTGCCAGGATTGAGGGATGTAAACAAACATTATGGGACTCTGGAAAATTTGGCCACACCCATGATAAGTGGACAAGCTGGCTAACTAAAATCAGGCTGGACTACGGATGTTGCTGGATCAGAGAGTGCCAGTCTAAAGAGGTTCAACCTGTACTCTGTATTGCTGACTTAAACATGAAGTGGAGATAGATTGTAGTTCAACATCTTAGTTTACTTTTGATATAAGACAAACCAGTATATTAGAGTCTGCCTTTATTGACGAGATTGAGACTATACCAGTATCTTTAAGTCATTATCAGCATTTCAAGGTTTATGTATAGGACCTTGTCTGCACTGCCAAATTTTATATCCGTTTCCAACACTGGTGCAGTTAGAATGGTGAAAATGGAGCATCTTCAGCACTGTATCCTGAAATTGTTCTCTTAGCTGGAAAGAGAGGGAGCAGTGGCCCTTGTGCTGGAAACAAATCCGAAGTTTAGTGCAGATGCATCTGAAGTGTGCATGCTACATTTATTTCATATTCTTAATCACAACAGATATTTGTCAGAATTATTCTCATATGCTCCTGTAGCACATACTTTTGCTATCATTTATAGAGAAGCGGCTCATGAATTATTATAACTCCAAGAACAGCTAAAAATTCGATTTAGTCCATTCCTTCTGGAACTGGCTTAAAAAAAATCTAACAATACTGTATTTTTAGATTTTAAATAATTCCTATATGGGAATTAGGCAAAAATATTCAAATGTGATTGCTTTAGACATACATGTAATTTCATATTTGGGTAGAATTTTATTAAAATATTAACTTAAATACAAATTAGGAATCTAATTTTAGGCGCACAGGTTTGAAAAGTATTGGCTTTAGTTTTCTGTAAATTTGGTTTGAAGTTGAAACTTTGAAAAGCTTTCTTAAAATAGACATAAGGATAGCTGCAGAATATGTGTTCTCCTGCCACAAATAGAAGGGCCAATAATATCAACTCCATTTATTGATGCCTCATGGAAAATTTTGAGATCTGTTCTCTTCAGAAACAATTCTACTGACTTTAGATTGTATTTAGCTTCTGATTTTCAGAAAACTAGGATATCATGTAAGGAAAAAAATAGCAAGAAGTAAATGAATCATGAATTACTGTTTTAACAGCTGTTCATAACATTGAAGGAGAAGAAAAGAGAGACCATATTGGTATTGTTTCTAAATAAGATGTTTCCATGGAGGCACCAACTGTTTAATGTTGTTTAATAGCATTAAGTTACTAAGTGTAGTAGGTTATATTGAAACTTATGTTGTTATGGAGTTCCATTTGTTGCTTGGAGAAAACAAGTTTCTTCCATGAATTTAAGTGCTTTAATTCTAGATTGAATCAGAATTTTAATCTTCTGCTTGAAGAGTTTGGGTTTGTCACAACACATTGGAAAAGAGCAGTAATTTGATGTAAAAAAATCTATTCCAATGGATGAGTTCCCTGAAGCTATGAAAACTAGAAGGTTTAATGAAGAAAGGAGGATGTAAGCCTTGAAGAAGACTTTGTTGTAAGCAGCATTTTTCAATTTGAATTAACACAAGCCTTATGCCATTACCTTCAGTGTTATTGAAAACTGGGAAAGAACCACAGACTTTTTTTTTTTTTTTTTTTTTGGCATGACAGCCGTCATTGGGAAATGACTCTTCCAGGCAATGAAGAAGTAGTGACTTGGGCCCTGATATTCCAATTTGAGCTGCGCAGATGCTACTCCCATCTTGATGTGTTAGCACAGTGGTTTTCAATCTGTGGTCTATGGAACTTCATCTAAGGGGTCCACAAAAGCTTGTCATTATCATAGAAAAGTGGTTTTTAACATGAGTTCTGCACATTAGGCCAAAGATTTTTCAAAGGGGGTCTGCACTTGCATTCAAAAATGTTCAGTTATGAATCCCTTAAAAAAAAAAAAAGTTGAAAACCACTGTGGTAGCAAAACTCCGGCCTTAATTAACATTCCTGTCCAGAGCAAATGAAGCCTACTACGCTGAGAGCTGTCTTTTTAAAAAAAAAATAGGGATATATATGCCCTACTTAATAGCTGTGTGTTTAATTACTTTAGTCATAGCGTGGCGCTGGAAGGATTGATAACGTGGCCTCAATCAGCACACATTGTTGGAGCTTACTCATAGAAATTCTGCTGTTCTTGTTTTCATTAAATACAAATAGGTAATTGCTGAGTTTGAATTCAATAAATAGAATTTTGTTAAAATGTAACTACTAGTTTTATTCACTAGAACTTTGTATTATATGCTTGAGGTAGTTTACCTCAGAAGTGGAGGACTGTAATATTCTTTAAACATGTACACTTTTGGATTAGAAAGCAAATAAAATGGAGTATATAAGTGTAAGAAGAGAGATATGAGAGTTACGGCTCTGTACAGATTGATGTTTGCTATAGTAGGTGTTTAAAAGACTGAAGACATGTTGAAACAGGATTTGTTGAGGTCAGCTGCGAGACTTTGCAAGTAGCTTGTGGTGTGGTCATTTTTGATGCAGTCTAAATTTCTGTTGTGGTTTCATGAACATTTGCACTTTTCCACGTTCAGTATTAAACAATGAAAAATAATGTGTATATGCTTCTTCTTCCTCCTTCTCCCTCTTCCCCATTGGTACTGATAAGGTTCCATTAGCAAAGAAAAAATGAAAGCTTTTGTCTCATATGCATTGAATCCTCTCGGTGTGTTCAGATCCATGAGTCCCTTTCAGTTGGAAGTATGAAATGCCTGTAACACTGTGGTGGCAGCGATGGAAGAAAAAACACAGCAACCAGTTCTTCCTTCACTCATCTAACCAGCCTGTTTGGACTGCCTGAGGTGCCTTTTTAAAGCAAGGGTGAAGAAGGGGCAGAGCATTTATAAACCTGAAAGTGTTGGAGTGGACAGGAAAACTATAGTTTTCCTACTGCTCTAAGATTGGGCTGAATTCTGTCATGGGTTTTTTTTTTTCAACTGCTAGTGCACCTCCTCATCACTTTTGGGGACTAGCTGATTCCAGATCTGATTCCACCGTACTGCTTCTCACTGCATGTCAGGACTTTCTTCCTGAATCTCCACAAGGTAAGACGCTCTGTGCTTGTGGTTTAGCCCTCTGACCTAGTTGTACGTTCTCCCTTCTGGGGTATCAAAGTTGCTGTTTATGAATAGACTCAGTGTTCCCATTTGCTGCGCAGCTACTGTCATTCCCCCAGTAGCTGGTTGGGGAACCTGGGCCTTCCCTTGATCCTGGGTTCCAGCTCAGGTACCTCCCAGTCAACAGCCAAAAGCCTGTTCCATCCTGGATCTTGCTGCCTTCTGCATGAGCCTTTCCTAACCTGGGTTTTCCATTCCCCAAACTTTCTTCTCCTAGGGAATAACCCTAGGCTCTTTTGGCTCCATAGCTCCCAAACATGTTTTCCTTTCCCTAGGGAGTGACTGCAGACTGTTCCCTGCTGCCAACTCCCCATCTTCATAAATCCAGCCCAGCTGTTTCCTCCCTCACTCTTTAGAGAAGGCATTGCTTAGGCTACTGGATTCCTGTCAGCTACAGCCGCTCAGGTTAACTGGCCCTTCCTCGTTCACCTTAACTTCTTCAGGGCAAGTGTGAAGTGAACACCCCATCACACCTTCCTTACCTTTGGCTGTGCCAAAGAAAGACCCGTGACAATTGCTTGGACCTTACAAGGTCAGACATTCACTGTGCCTCAGTCCCATAGTCAAGCTTTTTTTATTTCTCAGCAACCACAAACCTGGTGCTCACATAAAATGTCAGAACCTTACCCCATGTATAGATGTTGATATTTTCTACTCGCTATAGAACGTGTAGTGGTCCCACATTACATGTAGGAAAACTTTTTCTAGAAACACCAGCCAGCTTCACTGAGTCATAAGAGGGGCCCTACTGGGTCAGACAACAGGTGCATCTAGTCGAGTATCCTGTCTCCTGAAAGTGGCCAGTGCCCCACAGGGAATGAACAGAACAGGAAATCATCAAATGATCCACCCCCTGTTGCCCAGAGTCTGGCAAATAATAGGCAAAGGACAGCTTTCTGCCCATCCTAGCGAATAGCCTTTGGTGCACCTGAAGTAAGAACATCAGGCTCTTCAGTTCTTGCAAAAGCATAGGATTGGTGGTTTCTGGTTAGTGGCAATATGTGGAAGTAGCTGAACGGTCTCATTGAAACCGAAGATTCAGACCAGAAGTGTGTGTTTGACCTCTGCAATTAAGGGTCATTCTGTTAAATGAGGTTTTAGTTTCCTGTTCTAAGTGAATCTGCCTAAAGGCACCATGAATCACAGAACTGATACCCCAGGCACCTCTGAATAGAGAGGAGATGGCCATCGTTTTGGGTTGTCTCTTCAGAACGTTGTTTAAGACCTTCGTTCCTAAATTTAACATGGTTGTCAGTCACACTGACCTCAATGTTTTCTATGGAAACTCCTCTTTACGCTAAGTACTGAACTCTTGAAAGTAACATCTCACCAGAAATGCATCTTTATATCCAAAATTCTTTTAAAATAGTACTAAAGTTAGCAGGGTTGAACGTGTACCCTTCCTGAAGCATAGAAACCCCTATAGTCAAATATGAGAGCAAATAAGCTCTGAACCCCAGAAACCATTAGATGAAAAAGTGAAATAGCTTTCTCTTTAAATGATGTGAGCTGTATTTATTCATAGATGTTTTTTGTGTAGCTGACCCCATTGATCCTATTTTTCTCTTCCCTGTTGTGCCAAGGGTACAGTCGCAAGTACTTTGCCAACCGGAGAAGAAGAGTCCTGAAATCAAATAATTCCTGAATGTTATGCACATGCAGAACCTGCTTAATGTTATACATATCTGATACAAAAGAAAGATTTTAAACTAAAAATAGCCCCCACTGCTGTGAACTCCTGTGTTTTTTTTTTTTTTTTAAATGAGAATATTTTACTAACTCATACCCCTTTCTCATACCCTATTCAGCAGTTTTTGTACAATGTAATTAATGGTGCTCGGCTATCAAGGTAATGTAATGCCTTTATGAAGGTGTTTAAATAGACATATAAAAATCCAGATTGGTTCAAAAAGCTAGTGCAGTGTTAAAAATAACAATGCCTATCTAAATCTTATTTATTTACATTTCTTTTGTTAGGCAGTTTTGCATTTCCAAACAGAAATAAAATTTTCCTTTCACAAACGAGAATACTGAAGAGGCTGTCCTTACATGGTTTTAAAGGACAATGATCTGAAAGTATAAAAAATAAAAACAGCATTCACCTGTATGAATCTTTTTCTGTAGCCATTAAGGTAAGTAATCTATTCTCATGAAAGATTATGTATTCAATATTTAATCCAATGACAGTTCTGCATGATGGATACTTGCAAATACTGGTTTAGTCTTCATAAATAAACATGAGAAACCTGTCATATACATTTGCTTTGAACCTTCCCATGATAGAGTACTGTTGCATAATAGCACAAAATGGTGGTCTTTAAATGATCATCTGTTTTGCTACTACATCTGAGGCCATGAAAAAAGGAAGGGTATTGTAAAACCTGAGTCAGTGTCAAGTTCCACTATTCACTTAATGTACAAAATGAATAATTAACAACCCCTGTAAGGACTGAGCATCTTGAAACACTCAGCTCATCCGTAAAGCTCTTTCAGTATGTCTAACGCTTATCACAATTGAGAACTGCTGCTTTCAATGGATTGTTCTAATCCCAGCCTTTTCTTGACTTCTCCTGTAATGACTCAGTTTGTTACCCTCTGAAGAGAGGGGATGCTGCCTGATTTCTTATCAACATGTTAGTGTCAGAGGAAGATGCTGAGCAACAGTTTCAGGATGATGATGTAAATGATATCTATTAGAGGTAGAGACCTAATAGATGAACTACTGGGCCAGTGTTGCTAATTTGTTGGAGTGGTGTGGGAATGAAGGTGAAAGGGAATCTACTGTCATCTGAATTTCATTTGCTGCTCTGATAAATCTAAGTAGTGGTGGCACATCTCCAAATCTCTGTAAGCTGTGCTTCGATCACTGATGCTGAAGTCCTAAAAAGTATGATATTCAACAAACTATTGCCCTGCAAACAGTCCACCAGTGTGGGTTACTTTTCCATCAGGCATTTCTGTGAGTTATGGCCCAAATATTTCTGAAGTGCAGGGGAACACAGAATGTAACAGCCTGTAAAAGGAAGATTGGTCAAGAAGACTGAAAACTCACTCTGACAAGTCAATCGTCTCCTGAGTTACAACAGTCCTTTTGTTGAGGGTAACATATAAGAGGCACTGCAGTACATCTTGCTATATATTTTAGAAATGTTCGTTGGTCTGAGTCAGTTCAAGAACTACCCCTAAACAATAAGAGCTAGGACCACCAAATTTGATGTGCAGCTGCCTCATCATAAGAAAAAGCAAGATAAGGGTTTGGTTGTGCCAGGACAATAGGATGTGCCTGGAATTTGATTATTTCTCATAAAATGGAAAGGGAGGGATCTGGTAGGCAGAGACAGTTGAACGGTAGAATGATCACGGGGGGTAGCAAGGGGCCAGAGATGGGTACCAGGACAGCTGTAACTCCATTTGGCCAGCAGGCAGCAGGCATTGAGAAAGGAAGAGCAATCTACTATATATTTCAGAGGACATGTCTATGCTTATTGGAAGATGGACACGCTTGAGGTCAATTTTCTGGTGTTTGATTTAGCAGGTCTAGTATAGACCCTTAAATTGAATTCTGAGGGCAGCTCCTGCTGGTGTCTGAGACTCCTCCTTTTGCATGGAGTAAAGGAAGCGGATGAGA